GGCACTTAGGTTGTTTCCAACTCCTTGCTATTGTGAACAAAGCCACGATAAAAATGGGTGTGCATATATCTGCTTGGATGGTGGTTATGGTCTCTTTAGGGTATATTCCCAGTAGTGGAATTGCGGGAAGTTACCCTTTATGAAGCAGACAGAAGTCAGACACGTGGTGGCCACCACCAAGTTGCATCTGCTCCTTACACACACTGCTTTAGATTTCATGTATTGACACATTATAAAAAGGACTGAAAATAATACATGTATGTTGTTGTCTGCCTTCAAGTCAGAAATGATTCAGAGCTGACTCTCCTGTGGGTTTTCAAAGGCAGCAAATCACACAGGAGGAGAATGCTCACCCTTCTTTCAGATAGTAACTGGTGGATTCAAACCACATGCCTTTGGGATTGCAACATAGCTTCCTACCAGTAGGCCACCAGAGCTCCCTAACACATCTATTATCTTCTTATACTTTGTACTTGAACTTATTAAAGTGACTTGTGTAAAAAAAAACTAGAAAAGGATGACATTCTATTTCTTTCTGAAGGATTGATAAAATTTTTATCTGGTTCAGATTGGCTGTTCATAGCTTGTTATGAGTCATACCTGACGGCACCTAGCAATGCCAACAGATCTGGTATCTATCCAACAATCATACCTATCTACATTCACTTATTCTTAGAAAAAGAATAGTGGTGGTGGTGGTGGTGTGTATCATTCAGTTGGAAGTGATCCATAGCTGAGCCTCCAGCAGGTTTTGAGAGGCAGTAAATCACATGAGAGGAGATTGCACATCTTTCTCCTGCAGAATAGCTGGTGGATTCGATCTGCATATCTTTGTGCTGGTAGTGCATTCAATTCCTTACCACAAAGGCACCAGAGCTCCACACATACACTTCCTTAATCTTTATTACTATTATTATTAAGTTTAACAAAAATTTGTAGAGATTTTGGATTTCCATTCATTCATTGTTGCACTTTTCTCCCTGCCTCCCCATCCCCCTCCCCAGTTCACTCTTCTCTTTGAAAAGGAAAAGAAAAATCTTTCATTGTTTTACAATCCCTCCCCTCAAGTCCACTCCACTATGCAGCCTTCGTTCTGGACTGCCATCATGACAATAATAACCTAATCATATATACCTTTTAAAGATCTCTCATCTGTTTCAATGCAGTATACATAATCTTTTTAAATATATAAAAAATAATAATTATGGATACTGATTAAACATGCTGTTGTTGTTGCTGCTGTGTAACATCAAATCAGAATGAACCTATAGCTGACCCTCTGGCAGGGTTTCCAAGGAGGAGACTGTTCATCTTTCTCCCACAAAACTACTGGCAGATTCAAACCATTTATTTGCCTTTGGGTTGACAGCACAACTCCTTACCATGAAACCACCAGAGCTGATTAAGCATATAATTCTTTTCTATTCCTTAAAAACCAGTGCCATCAAGTCACTTCCACTTCTTGATGTCCCCATGAATGTGGACGGAGAGTGGTACTCTGCAGGGTTTCCAGGGGATGCTCCTATTTCATCAGGACTTTCTTCCAAGGAGCCTCTGAACAGATCCCAACCTTTTGATTAGCAGGCAAGGGCATAACCAATGTGCCACCAGGGCTGCTCCCTTCATTTTATAATTAGATATGGTCAGGGTTATTCCATTCACACCTCATCCCAAGTTCCCACTTCCTTTCCCAACTCCTCTTGGGGACTGTAAACTCTATCAGAACAAGAACTATGCCTAGGTCAACATCGTGTTCTTTATAACACAGTATTAAGTTCACAGTGGGAACTCTAAAGTGAGCAAAATGGATCATGTACTTGAATTCAGTCCTACTTAAATTCATTGCTTATTCACACAATTCATGTAACTTTAAAAAAAAAAGTCTTCTTGTTGCTAGGTGTTGTCAGGATGACTAAGACTCATAGCAACCTCAAGAACACCAGATCTGAACCTTGCCCCATCTGGCTCCATCCTCCCCATCTCTACCATTGTACCAGTGACTGTGTCAATTCACTTCCCAGAGGGTCCTTCCGCTCAATGAACCTCGACCTTCTCTGCATGAGGTCTTTTCCCAAGGACTGGTCCTTCTGACAACATGCCTCAAATATTTGAGAAGAAGTTTCACCACCTTTGCCTCTACAGGAGCAAGCCTGGTTGCTGTCTTAGGAACTACCTCATATACTTAGGATACTTTCAGTGAACACAAAAGATACAGATTCACTTTCATGAAAAACTTTACTTCGCTCCGCTAATAACCTGATTTCTCTCTCTCTCCCCCCCACCTCATAATTTTAGATTCAAGCAGTTCGTTATTTAGATTTTATATATTCACTACATTATACAAGATCCATCTAACATTACCTACAATGTCCCTAGTACCACAACCCCTTCTAAACCCAGCCTGGATTTCAGGCAGTTCTCTGCTGATGTGCTGTTCCAGTCATTTTTGGATGATCTTGAGTAAAATCTTGCTTGCATGTGAAATCAATGATACTGTTCTAGCATTTCCACACTCTGTTGGGTCACCCTTCTTTGGGATGGTAACAAATATAGATCTCTTCCAGTCAGCTGGCCAAATGGTTGTTCTATAGATTTCTTGGCACAACTTGGTGAGCACGTCCAGGGCAGCATCTGTTAGCTGAAATATGTCAACTGGTATACCATCTATTCCTGGGGCCCTATTTTTTTGCTATTTCCTTCAAAGCAGCCTGAACGTCTTCCTTCATCATCATAGGCTCTTGCTCATATGTTGTTTCATTAAATTCTTCTGTGTCTGCCAATTCCTTTCAATACAGTGACTCAGTATATTCTTTTAATCTTCTTTTAATACTTCCTGGAGCATTTAAAATTCTGCCCAAAGCATCCTTGATTATAGCAACTTGAGGTTTGAATTTCATTGTAGCTAATGTTAGATGGATCTTGGCTGAAAGCAGGGAATACTAGAGGAATGTCTGTGTTTCGTTGACTATGCGAAGGCATTTGACTGTGTGGATCGTAACAAACTGTGGTTGACTCTGAGAAAAATGAAACTCCCAGAACACTTGTTCAAGCTAATGCAAAACCTATACTTGGACCAGGAGGCAGTCGTCAGAACAGAGCAAGGAAACACTGCTTGGTTCAAAATTGGGAAGGGCGTACACCAGGAATGTGTCCTGTCTCTATACCTTTTCAACCTGTATGCAAAACAGATTATCTGGGAGGCTGGGCTCTATGAGGAGAAATGTGGAGTCAAGGATTGGTGGAAGATCTGTCAACAATCTGCGTTATGCAGATGACACAACCCTGCTTGCTGAAACTGAGGAAGACCTGAAGCGCTTGCTGCAGAAGGTCAAGGACTGCAGCTTTCAATATGGATTGAGGCTCAATGTCAAGAAGACAAAGATTCTCATCAATGGACCAACTGGCAGCATCAGGATGGATGGTGAAAAGATTGAGCTTGTTCACAGCTTTAGTCTGCTTGGCTCCACAGTCAACACTCTTGGCAACAGCAGCCAGGAAATTAAAAGACATATTGAGATGGGGAAGTTTGCTGTTAGGGATCTCTCCAAAACACTGGAGAGCATGGTGTCTCTCTGGAGACTAAGGTGCGTCTGATACAGGCCATGGTCTTTGCAATCACTTGTTATGTATCAGAGAGCTGGACAACGACTAAGGAGGACAGAAGGAGAATTGATGCCTTTGAGCTGTGGTGCTGGAGAAGAGTACTGAATGTATCATATCATGAACTGCTAAGAAAACAAACAGGTTCATCCTGGAGAGGGTTAAACCGGGTGGCTCCTTGGAGGCAAGGATTCTGAGGCTTCATCTGACATACTTTGGACATGTTGTAAGGAGGGACCTTGGAGGGTCCTTGGAGAGGGACATCATGGTAGGGAGGGTGGAAGGACAGCATGGAGAGGAAGGCCCTCTATGAGGTGGACTGATTTAGTGACTGGGGTAATCAGGATGGGTGTATCAGAGACAGTACAATTGGCACAGGACAGAGCACAGTTTAGGGCTGTTGTACATAGGGTCGCTATGAGTCGCAGGTGACTCGATGGCACATAACAACAACAACAACATTAATATTCCCTACAATTTACTCTGATTTCTCAAGATAAGTGTCACTAAGCTGGGAGCCTCAGCTCTAAATGCATGCTTGCTGACATAAGAAGAGCAACAGTTGGGCCTAGCAAGTGTATGTTTGAGAATACAATTTGCATTAGAAGAGGTAGAGATGAAGATCACTGCATGATCCTTCCTGCTTACAATCTGAAAGACATCCTCCACCATGGTGCTCTCCACCAATTACCTGGATAACTGGAGACTTCACGGGAGAGAGAGGAGAGGTTTGTTCAACACCACAAACTCACTGTCAGGCATAATTTTAGCTGACACTTTTTTAATGTGCTTTCTCTTTTGGCCTAACAGACTTCAATTTTCCTTTGAAAAGAATTAAAAATTCTTTGCATGCACAGCTTAAAAAGACAGACCATTAAAGACAATAAACAAACGAAAAATAAAAAAATAAATTCACAGTGGCTCATGTAAGACTGAAGACTACACTCTGCCACAGTACATATGCAGCATATTACACTGCAGTAATGGAAGTCAGGTGAAGAAAATACCAATACCCACTACAAAAGCACCAGAGAAACAGAAGCATCAAAGTCAGACATAAAAGGGAGAAATTCTGCATGCCATGGGAAAGTGGCCTTTTTTTTTTTTTTTTTCAAAAAGAACGAACTAGAAAGTATAAAAGAGATGTCAAAATCAATTGCATATTCTTTAAGCCACATCATCCAATTTTTCTTTTAGTTCATCAAGTCAATTCCAATTACCCATGGTATACCAAGAAATCCTCCCCTGAAATTTGAAAGGCACTACAGAAAAAGATATTCCAAATGCAAGCAAATATATGCAGTGGGCAAACATGACCATTCAATGTGATAGAAGAATCTAATCTGAGCACACATCTTACACAACTGCTAATCCGAAGTGATGGTTCAAACTGTCCTTACCTAAAGGAATGTGAAAAGGCTTGCAATCTGCAAGAAGCCAGAGTAAGCATTAGAGAAGAAAGGAAGTGCTGGTAAATCTAAAACAATTAAAGAACCCACTTTTAAAAACGTGTATACGGTCTTAATTAGATTCTAATGTGCTACACAATTCTACTTTCTGTAAGTGTAAAAGTCAGAATACCTAACAAATGTCTACGTAACTGTCAAAACATTTAAGAAAGCTATGTTTACGGCATAAAGATGATAGTTCAAACATAATGATCAAATCGTTTGGTCCTGTTAGTACAACATATAGCACCCATTTTATACATTGGTTGACTGAACCTATTCAACCAACAAAATTCTGGTTGCTCCCCACAAATGAAAAACAGGAAGCCATGCAACCTGAGGTTTGCTTCAAAACAAATACAAATCTGGCATGCCAGAGAAGCACAGCTGATTAAAACCACATCTGTAATTTCCGACACTTGGTAACTCCACATAGTGAGGGAGGGAAGCACAAAAGCACTGAAGTGGTTTTGTCAAAATGGCAGTTTAGCAGACTAATCTAAAATACAAATTAAAAACAAAAAGCAACAGCCCACAGTCAAGGTTTAGCCCTGAGCATGGAAATACACACACACTTTACAGATCAGTGCAAATCGGTGAGCATGTTACAACGGCACCATGGTATAAAAAAAGTAGCATACAGAAGTGATGTCAGGTCTCCATCCAAGCGTGCATGTCAATGGTCCCACACTCAAGTCCAGTACGACACCAGGCTTTGTCCATGATCACAAGTTTGCCACCACAGAGATATACTTACCCAGGATGACTAATTAGGAATAAACACACACAAAAGTTCACAACCAGAATTTTTAGACAGCTTCAAATGTATTCCTAAGATGATCACATTAGTGTTTGACTGCTATGCCCAAAAGAATGTCAGCAAGTATCTCAACTTTTGCTACAAAGGTGTGCCCTTCCTCACCCAATTCAGCAGAGTCCAGGGACTGACCAGACCCAGTCAGGAACAAACGCAACTACAGTAAGACATTTGCATTTGCCTCTGCTACTTAATGAGCAAAGAAAAACGAAGACATACTTTACATCTTCTAGCTTTTTAGTGATGACGGATCCAACAGAAGAAAAAGCAGCCGAAGCCTTCTGTCCAGCCTGAGACAAGGTTTCAGATGTCTTCTTGTACCTGCGTTAAATTACAAAAGAGTAGAGGGGGACAAAGTAAGCTTGAAAAAATTAGCCATTATTTCAAGTGCAATGATCATCACCTATTCAAGAACTCTCAAAAAACAGTTAATAAAAAAGCATTTGAGAACACCTAAAATCCTTCACAGCCACCAGCCTTGTCTTCAAACATAAATTCTAGACAACACTTTCTGTCCTGTCCCAGGACAGTAAGGAAGGTAGAGGACTACACAGGCTAAGCAAAAAGTATTTTAAAAATCAGGAAATGGACTAAAAATAATCCTACAGCAAAGATCAAGGATCTGGAATAAATTATAACTCATGTTGCTCCTTCCTTTTCCAAATAAAAAGGAACTCAAATGCCTCAGATGCCTTTTACATCTTTTATCTCCTAAAAATGGGGCCAGAAATAATAAGTAGGTCTGGATAGGTAGGGGCCATCTGTGTTTTATTGTCCAAATAAATTTTATGGACATAAAGAATTGTTTTTTCATTTCTCACGTCTGTAAGTTTACCAAATAAGGACTGGATGAATTCTCAAAGCATGTAAAAGGAATAATATTTAAAAGGACTCTAATGTGATATTTGCTATAAAACAAAGTACTATTTACCATCTCTCCCTTCCCCTCTACCCAGCAACTAGAGAACAGAAAGAAGAGAGAACAAATATGGTACCTACCAGAGAGGCTAAGATCCCCACATGAGAGAAATGCATGCTTAGGCAATTTTACTTACCCTTTGAAAATCAGATTCTAAGAGCAAACCTATTTTATAAAGATACAGTCAAAGAATCATTTCTTACTGCCAACTTACATGGGGAGAGAATGGACCAAAAGAAGTAGGCACCATAGTGCTACCATTTAAGACAGGCAGCCCGACTGCCTAACTGCTGAAGAGTAAAACAAAGAAAACCACAACAAAAACTAAACTTCATTGCCATTAAGTAGAGCAGTCTCATAGCCAATCCTCCAGGGGGTTTCAGAGGCTGTAAATTATGCAGGATGAGACTGCACATCTTTCTCCTACAGAGAGGCTGGTGGATTCAAACCACCTACCTTCACGTTGGTCGGCAGCACAATCTCTTACTCACTAAGGCACCGGGATTCCCAGCCGATGGTGAAGCAGTAAAAAAAAACACCACTAAGCTAAAGAGTTGTATAGACAGGACAGACTGCAGATAAGAAAGAATATCATTTGCTAGCACTGATCCTCCTTTATCTGGGAAACAGAATGGCTGGTAATAATACCATTATCATAATATGAGATTAAAAGACAGAGGTTAAGGAGCTGGCCTTGACCATGGAACATACTAGCCACATGATTCAAGAATCGTATGGTCCATATGCTGTTGGGTACCTAGGAACTGATTTTCAACTCAAAGAGACTCAATGGGATAAATTAGAACTGCTCCATGGGCTCTGCTAGGCTGTGTTCTTTGCGGGAGCAGATTGTCAAATCTTTTCTCCTGCAGTGACATTGGGTGAATTCTAACCACCAAACTTAGCTAGCTAGCAGCTGGGTGCTTAACTATTGCTGAACTAGGCTGCACACTTTGTCTAGAGTAGGAAGGGGGGAAAGATTGGCTCTATAGGCAGCCAGACTCAAGTTCAAATCCAGGCTACACGTTTTGAGTCAAAACTTACCTAAACTGAGTCAACTGCCTCCTCCAGGGCAATCTTACCACCCAGCCTATGTGGTTATTCTGAGGACTAAGTGATGCAATGTAGGTGTTTCTTAAGTTTATACACAGAAGTTTTAGAACCTAAACTTTCCTTAATGAGCAGAAGGTTTATTTTTTGTTTCTAGTTCCCAGAATGGTCTAGGACACTAAACTCAGAAAGAGTAAAGCATGTTTATGAGAAGAATGAGCCTTGGGTCACCCAAAGAAAAGCTACAGAATCGGCTATTCCTTTCTATTCCCCTCCACAGTCAAAAGGAGGAGGTTGTGGTGGTGTTTTTATGTGCTGTTGAGTCACCTGAGATTCACAGCAACCCTATGTACAATAGCTCTGAACCCCACCCTAATTTGAGCCAATCTCATCGTCTCCTACAGACCTAACCCCATTTCTCCAGTCACTGAGTCAATTCATCTCATCCTGGGTCTTTGTCTCATTTAACATACTCTAGAAATATGCACAAGCGAACATACGCAGATGTTGCCGTCACGTCTTGCCACCCTTTGGCAATGTTCTGCTTTATCTCCTGTAGTGAACTGATGCCAAGTTTCTTCTTGATCTCTGCTAGATGTTTCTCTTTTGCTGCTAGTACTTGAGACAGAGTCTGGATCTCCTCTTCCACCTGTAAGGAAGAGGGTTGGGGAGGAATTCAACAGGAGTCATTAAATAAGCTAAGATTATTAGTGAAAAACTATACATTCTAGTGTTATTTGGGGTTGTTATTTTATTTATTTATTTTTTATTTTTTTTTTCTTTCATTTTGAGGTCACTTGTAAAACAGGGAAAACCCAGGACCTATACAAAGCAAAAACCCATCAGAAGTAAATGCAAATACTTTCCACTAATAGAGAGTAACAGAAAAATTGTTGTATTGTTGAGTCAGAACCAACTCATAGTTGACCTTCCAGGGATTTTTCAGAGACAGTAACACACATGGAAGAAGATTCCTCCTCTTTCTACTGCAGTGGATTCGAACTATGTGACTTTGGGTTGGCAGCACAACTCCTTACCAATAAGCCACCAGAGCTCATTACAGAAAAGATGTTAAAAGGTAAAAAACTGCAAGACCTAGAAAAACAAGGCAATCCCATTGAGCTCTGCCTCTCACAAGTTTGACTGCGTCATACTGTTGAATAAGCTGGTCTTACTTATCTGCTCTAGTTTATTTTCTTTTGCCTGCTACCTCTTTATATTTCTATCCTTAACTGCCTTCTTACTTCTTCCTATAATTCTTTTACTCAATTATGTCCTAAAGCTTGGAGCTCTATCCCTCTACACAAATGCCACTAAAATTCCTCCAGCATTCTCTATCCTGACTCTGCGTGTCAAGCTGTAGACAGACAGTTCTACTTGAACACCCACAAAAATCCCCATTTGTTTAATGAAATAAAATTCCTCTCCTCTTCCAAAACATCAACAACCAAACCAAAATCCAACCCCATGTGAATTTAAACTGGATATGTCTGTTCCAGTCCTTGCTGAAATCCACAGCAATCAATAAAATCAAACTCCCTCCTCCAGAGTCTTTTCTAACGACATATGTGCAATTCCTTGATGCTTCCTGACCAGTTAAATGCTCAGAAGCAGGCCATAAACCAGGGTCTACTAATGATTATTATTATTTTTTTTTTTTTTGGCCAGCAAGTTCAAATAAAAACCTCAATTAACAAGTCTCTCACTTGGAAAGGTTGTCTGAGAAACTGAGAAGGTAAAGCTGAAAACATTTCTAGAGAATCTTAGTATGTTGTAGTTATGTGTTGTCCAATGAGAACCAGTTCACTGCTGGCCTTCTGGTTGAGTTTCCAGAGGTTATAAATCACAGAAGAGGAGACTGCCTATCTTTATCCCACGGAGCGGCTGGTGGATTCAAACCATCTGCCTTTAGGTTGACATCCTTACCCTCTAGGGCATTAGAGCTCCCTTAGTATAGGCAGGACACAGTGAAATGATGTTGTGGTAGGAAGGGGAGGTTTGAGGAAGCCAAAACTGTTAGGAAAAGCCAGAAAGAAAAGAAAAGTAGTTAGGATTGGGGGGTGGGGTGTGAAGCAGACTCCATGTGAGAGAGATTTTTTGTTAGGACCAAGGGATTAAAAACTCTAAAGTAAAGAAAGAACTGGGGAGGTTACAATAAAAAGTCGAGTGTCTGGTGATTCAAATCTACCGCTGACCCCACAGGACAAAGTTGGGCAGTCTCTTCCTGTCATGAGTGATAACCTTAGAAACTCAAGTGAAAATTACTCTGAGCCATAGTTTACTCAACAACAACTAATAGCTTTTTTTTTAAAAAAAAAAAGTATATCCAGTACTAGAACCTTGTAAAAATGCTGCTTAGGTTTTTGCAAACCAATACTGCCAACCTGTATGACACTTAAAGAGTTCAAAGTCAACACAGCCTTCTATGTTCTCACCTTTCCGCCTTAAATTTTTGGGAAGAAAGTAGTAAAGGGGAAACAGTATTACATAAAAGGAAAAAAGGGGCAAGTCAAATGTTCTGTGACTGGTGGGGCGGGAAGAAGAAAAATACAACTGACAGACTACATTCACTTGAACAGAATCTAGAACAAATAAATACATATTTTCTTGGTTTGTCAGATAAGGCCTCAAATACAATTATGTCTTAGAAGCCACATTTTAAAAGACACAATGATAAAGTGAAATCTAAGAAAAAAGCAGCACAGGAAGAAACAATTTCAAAGTTAAACACATGAATTACATGAATTGCCCAAGTCATCATGTAGTAGCGAAAATCTTCAACCTGAGTATCTTCACCTTCCTGATTACTGGCTGAATCTCCTGGTAACACTTTTCTACTGTCTCTTTTTTCCCCCATCAAACCTAAAATTTTAAATATTTCATATCATGGATTTATGTGGTATATTTTTTTAAACTACTCCAAGGAACTCCTCTCACTTCTCCTGACAGATCGAGACCACCACAAATCTTTCCAAACTGCATGGTCCCATGCAGTTCCCTAGTCTAGTACATCGCAGCCATACGTCTTCAATTCCATTTTTTTTTTCTTCTGTGGCAGCACGGGATGACAAAGCAAAATATTACAATGAAATATGCAAGGAATTGGAGTCAGAAAATCAAAAGGGCCAAACTCGCTCAGCACTTCTTAAGCTCAAGGAACTGAAGAACAAATTCAAACCGCGAGTTGCTATAATCAAGGATGCTTTCGGCAGAATGTTAAATGATCCAGGAAGTATTAAAAGAAGATGGAAGGAATATACTGAGTCACTGTATCGAAAGGAATTGGAAGACACAGAAAAATTTCATGAAACAACATATGAGCAAGAGCCTATGATGATGAAAGAAGAAGTTCAGGCTGCTTTGAAGGAAATGGCAAAAAATAAGGCTCCAGGAATAGATGGTATACCAATTGACATATTTCAGTTAACAGATGCTGCCCTGGATGTGCTCACCAAGTTGTGCCAAGAAATCTGGAGAACAACCACTTGGCCAACTGACTGGAAGAGATCGATATTTGTTCCTATCCCAAAGAAAGGTGACCCAACAGAATGTGGAAACTACAGAACAATCTCACTAATTTCACATGCAAGCAAGATTTTACTGAAGATTATCCAAAAACGACTAGAACAGCACATCAGCAGAGAACTGCCAGAAGTCTAGGCTGGGTTTAGAAGGGGTAATGGTACTAGGGATATTGCAGCTGATGTTAGATGGAGCTTAGCTGAAAGTAGAGAATACCAGAGGAATGTCTATCTGTGTTTCATTGACTATGCAAAGGTGTTTGACTGTGTGGATCATAACAAACTGTGGCTGACTCTGAGAAGAATGGGAATCCCAGAACACTTGATTGTTCTAATGCGAAACCTATACTTGGACCAGGAGGCAGTCGTCAGAACAGAGCAAGGGAACACTGCTTGGTTCAAAATTGGGAAGGTCGTACACCAGGGATGCATCCTATCTCCATACCTTTTCAACCTATATGCAAAACAGATTATCCGGGAGGCTGGGCTCTATGAGGAGAAATGTGGGGTCAAGATTGGTGGAAGATCTATCAACAATCTGCAATATGCAGATGATACAACCCTGCTTGCTGAAACTGAGGAGGACCTGAAGCACCTGCTGCAGAGGGTCAAGGACTGCAGCCTCCAATATGGATTGAGGCTCAATGTCAAGAAGAAAAAGATTCTCATCAATGGACCAATTGACAGCATCAGGATGGATGGTGAAGAGACTGAGATTGTTCACAGCTTTAGTTTGCTGGTCTCCACAGTCAACACTCTTGGCACCAGTAGCCAGAAAATTAAAAGGCGCATTGCCATGGGAAAGTCTACTGTTAGGGTACTCTCCAAAGTGCTGAAGAGCAATGGTGTCTCTCTGGAGACAAAGGTGCATCTGATACAGGCCATGGTCTTCGCATCAGAGGTTATGCATCAGAGAGTTGGACAATGACCAAGGAGGATAGAAGGAGAATTGATGCTTTTGAGCTGTGGTGCTGGAGAAGAGTATTGCGAGTACCATGGACTGCTAGGAAAACAAACAGATTCATCCTGGAAAGGGCTAAAGCGGGTAGCTCCTTGGAGGCAAGGATTCTGAGGCTCTATCTAACATACTTTGGACATATTGTGAGGAGAGACCGGTCCTTGGAGAAGGACATCATGCTTGGGAGGGTGGAGGGACAGCACAGTAGGGAAAGGCCCTCTATGAGGTGGATTGAGTCAGTGACTGGGATAATCTGGATGGCAGTGTCAGAGACAATGCAAGTGGCACAGGACAGAGCAGAGTTTAGGGCTGTTGTACATAGGGTCGCTATGAGTCACAAGCGACTCTACAGCACATAACAACAATAACAACAACAACAACAGAAACAAGACCTTAACAGCATTTATGGAGAACATGCTTAGGAATGTCTACTGTATCTTAAACATGACTAGACAGGGTTTTAGAGTATCTGCTTTTCCTTAAGATTCTAGTTATTTCAAGCAGTGATGTTGTTTTCCTTTCCAGATGGAAAACTCCCATTTGATTTAAAATATAAATTCTTTTTAATAAGTGAAATTAAAAAGGGGGGCTCTGGTGATGTCGTCTGTAGAAAACTGTGTTGCTCAGTCAAAGGTGGCATCTCTCTGACAGATGGAATCCACCAGTGATTCTTCAGGAGAAAAACAGGCCATCTCCTCCTGAAACTCAGTCGAAGTTCAGCCATGGGGCAGCTATGGCCCAAAAGCAATGAGCTGGCTTTGTTTTTAATGTTAAAAAAAATATATTAAATACATCATTACTGTTGTTGTTACGTAGTGTTGAGTCACGACTGACTCATGGCTGACCCTTTTGTGGGTATTCAGAGGCAGTAAATCAAACAGGAGGAGAATGCCCATCTTTCTTACACGTTATTTTTATCTTAACCAGCAATAGTACATCTGCTACATGGATCTCACAAGGCTTTTTTTTTTTTCTTCTTAAGACAAGGCTTTTTCTAAAAAAAAAAAAAAATTTTTTTCAATCTAGTGTGTGTGTGTGTGTGTGTGTGTGTGTGTGTGTGCGTGCGCACGCTGCCAAATCAGATCTGACTGGTACAGAAGGAGATTGTTCCTCCTTCCGCATTTGTTGGATTTGAACCGTGAGCCTCTGGGATTGCACTGAAGCTTCTTGCCCCTAGGCAACAAAGCTCTCTACAAGGCTTTTATCCAAGTAAGGCAAACATCTGGGAAAGTATACCAAACAAATCCAAGGTTAAGTCCACAGGCACTGAGGCTAATAAAGACATGAATACAACATTCAATGTTGCTATGAACTAGCTGGGTGCCCTCAAGTCCTCATTAAGTTTCTGTTAAATAATGCTATTATCATCTGTGTAGAGATAAAGACCTATACTTCCCCATCCATCAAGTCATGATAATAGCACTTGGCTCATAAGACTGTTGTGATGATTAATGAAAACAGGCACTCAATAGAGATTAGATGCTGTAATTATAATTTCATTTCCTAGATAATGACATAACAGCCAGGGATGACAAGGATTTGGGAAAAGGTCTTCTTGTACACTACAAGAAATCATCTACAATAACCAAGTACACTTAGAACTGTTGGCCCAGCAATAATTCTTCTTCTAGAAATTTATCTTACAGAAGTAATGAAAGATTTGCATAATAGTTTACATGCAAATATGTGCATCAAAATACTATTAAAACAAGATAAAAACTAAAAGCAACCCAAATGTTCTAAAATCCTATTTCTCATCAAAATGGTGTTACAGAAGATTCTTTATTACCTTATAAAAAAAGTGTTCTTTAAATTCTGTTACACAAGGTAAAGGCTACTGATATTATAAAATATTCTTATAGGTTATTAATATAACATTCTTTTTTTTCTTGTCTTTTAGCTTCTCTTTTATTTCAGGGGAAAGTGTGAATGCAATCCCCCACTACCACAAATTATCCAGTAGAGTCTCCCACACTTGGGGAATTGCAGGAGTCACATCCAGATTGCAATGAGTGAGCCTTGCCCTTGGAAAACCTCCTTTGTGATCACGGAATCTCCCCTGCCAGGTATAACATTCTTAAATACAGAAATGTGTTACAGTAACATATATATCAGAGAATTTAAAACCTTTAAAGCCCATAGGACTTTAAGTGGTTTTAATTTTATTCAGCATTTTTAATCTTTTAACAATAAGCATATGCCATCTAATAAGAAATACTTTTCTTATTTTTAAAATAGTAGAATTAAGTCATGCGCTAATTATTAAATATCAGTATTTTTAATCCTTTATATTCTTCATAGAGCTTATTGCCAACTTATTTATCTATTCAATGAAGGATGGAGTTCAAAAGTGCCTAACCAGAATAACACAACTAAGGATAGAATAAGAATCACTGACTCAGTGGAAGACGAAAATGTTGTCAGGGGAATCAGATAAAGTCGGCTAGGAGACAGTCACGGGTCCTGCCCTCCCTCATTTCCTGCCACACACCCTATTTCTCAGGCCTATTCTAGCCATATACACCTTTTCTCACATAAAAAGAAGTTAATACCAGGCATGCTCCCCTGCCTCCATGACCCCTGGGAAAAATAAACATATACTGCTCTTTTCTTCCTGAAACTGATTAAAGGGCAATAATATGATGTACTTTAGAAATACAAACAGTAAATCATTTTATATGCAAAACACCAACCTCCACATAGAATAGTTCTTCTTGAAAACATGATACTAAAGTGAAGGAAGCGAGCCACCAAAGGCCGTATACCGCATCCTGTGATCGTGCATACCAACGACCCCGAGGAACAAACCCAGGGACAGCAGGCAGAGGGTGGTGTCGAGGGCGGGGAGGGGAGAATGGAGAGATCTCTTGCAGGGGCTCTGAAAACTATCTGGAATTTGACAGTGGTAAAAGTCGAACAGCACTGTGACTGTATAAATGTCACTGAATTGTACACTTTAAAATGTTTTGTTCATTTCTTCACTGTCTACAAGTCAAAACCAGCTCAAGAGTTGAGCCTCCGGTGGGTTTTCAGAGGCTGTAAATCACACAGGAGGAGACTGTCCATCTTCCTCCCATGGTGCAGTGGTGGATTTAAACTACTTGCCTTTGGGCTGGCAGTGTAAGCCAGTTCCCACTAGGACACCAGAACACCCTTTAAAATGTTAAAGATAGTAAATTTTACATTATGTGTATTTACCACAAGAGTATTTTTTTTTAAAAAAGTAGGTCGCTCTGGAGGGCCAGTGCTGCAATCCTAAAGGCACTCTTGAAAACAAGAGTCATTTGTTACCTTTGCAAGTTCTCGCCTTAGCTCCTCTTGCTCCTCCTCTGACAGGGCCTCTGTGGCACTGATGGTGGCAGCAGCATCTTCTGCTTCCTCTGGTACGGGGTCTGTCGGATTTAAAAAAACAGAAAAGTCTGAAAGCTAATAAGAGTCTCCCATGGGAGAAGCCACTGTGCCAGCCAGCTTAAGACCCACACATCAACTTCAAATGATCTGACATTTCTAGCAAAGGACAAAAGCAAACTTTGGGCTAACCATGAAAAACAATCATCTTAGACTCTGCCAAAATGTAAATGCAGGCAGGAAATGGGATCTAAAAAGCTTTCTCTCAGTGTCCATTTTCTCAGTTACAGTACAATTACTTAAGAATCAGGAGGCAGGAATAAGATTTTTACATGGTTTTCAAATTCTTTAAGAGAAAAACCACACACCTTAAAGAAGTGTGTAAATGCCTTTACCTTCCTGTGACCAGAGGAAACAGAGCAGCAGTGATGGCCTAGTGAATAAGGAACTGCAATGCCAACCTAAAGACAAGCAGTTCAAATCCACCAGCTACTCCAAAGGAAAAAGATGGGTGATCTCCTCCCATATTATTCACAACCTCTGAAAATCCACTGGTGGTTCCAACTCAACAGCAAAGAGCTGAGTTTGAAACAAAGGAAACAAAACCTAGCACTGTGCAAGCTCAGGGAAAGATGTGCTGACCAAATTAAATGTACAAGGAAATGTTAATCCACTTCTTTTCTTTAGTCAGGCGAAGTGGGAAACGGCTGTGGCTTTTCTTTATCTTATGCAGACACTTGTAATCTTCCCATGACCCAATTTTCTGCTTTTAATTTTTTGTTGTTGTTCACATCATGTATTTTCCTGAATGGATAGCATGCTGAGTCAAGGAACATTTCTGGAAAGCTGAATAGATTTCCCACCCCCCCATACATATTTTATGAGGCAGCTATGTCCCTCTGGACTCTGGGAAGTATTATATGGGACTTGTTTGTCCACTCCGAACTCAGCAGAACTAGTGGGAGGCATATAGCCCTCTGGACTCTATCACTTTCTAGATCACTTGATAGGTGCTTATGACTTAAAGCATATGAAAATGTGGTAGTTGCATAAACTCATTGTCATGGTCACAACCAGTTCCCAGATTACCCTGATATGGGCTTCAGAAAATAGAAATCAAGGTGGGGGGAGAGCTCCATATTACGAGAGAGCCAGCTTTCAATTAATATACTGGAACCCATCTCCCAGTACAAAAGTCGAAAGAAACAAATTTTGCAAAATCATACCTCCAAGGACGCAGGTGAGAACTGTTTACAAGAGCCTGTACAAATGTGTGCCCTATGTGACACATGACCATTTCTTGTGTTTCATATAGTGATGCTGGCCCCCTCCTGAGGCTTCATGCACTTTGAGTGTTGAACCAAATAAACCCTCAAGAGGAAAATGCAAGTGGATGCTACATGTGCCATCAAAGGTCATCAAAGGGCTAAAAAATTCTCAATGCCTACAGCAGTGAGTAAATGGCCAATAACCACTAAAAGATACTCCACATCATTCAAGACCTTTCACCATGAAACCATTTTCCTGGAGGAGAGCCAATGACTCAGTGTCCATCCAGGAGAACAGAGCGTTCTGGAGTGAAAAATACCAGGAGAGTAGCCACCCTTGAGTCACCACCCCCTACTTCCTCCCAAACTCCAACACCATAGAGCTCAGGGCAGGCCATTGAGTCCAAAGTGGCATGACCCAAAGTACAAAACTTAACGGCGCAAGGGGCAAATAACGAGCAGTTTAAAGCAAACTTTAACTTTTTTATTTTATTATCTTTTTACATTTTTACACAATTAAAAACCTATACCTAGACCAGAAAGCTGTCAGTCCTGTCATGACAGATGGCAAAAAGATTGAGATGGTTAACAATTTCATCTTACTCAGATCTACAATCTTGGCACCAGCAATAGAAATCAAAAGACAAGATGCTTTAGGGAAGCCTGCTATCAGGAGTCTCTCCAGGGCACTAACGAGCAACAATGTCAGTATAGAGACTAAGGTGCACCTGATGCAGACCATGGTCTTCTCAATTGCTTGCTATGCATCTGAGAACTGGACAATGAATAAGGATAACAGAAGAATTGATGCCTTTGCATTGTGGTGCTGGAAAAGAATGCTTTCTATACTATGGACTGCCAAGAAAGCAAACAGGTTTATTCTGGAGAGGGTGAAACCATGTTGTTCCTTGGAGGCAAGGATTTTGTAAACCCCTCTCACATATACTTACTTGGGCATATCTCCAACAGGGACCAGTCCTTGGAGGAGGACATCATGCTTGGAAGAGTAGAGGGTCAGTACAGGAGAGGAAGACCCTGGCTGAGATGGACTGATACAGCAACTGTGGCAATGGGGACAGATGTGTCAGAGACAGGGTTCAGAGCTACTGTACATAGGGTTGGTATTGGTCATAGTCAACTTGACAACACATAGCCACCATAACAACATTTGATTAAGCAGTTTTACATTTACAGAAAAACTACAGAGAGCTCCATATATCCCTTTCTCCCCATACTCAGTTTTTCCTATCAATATCTTGCATTAGTGAGGTCCATTTGTTAAAATTCATGAATCAATACTGAAAAATTTATTGGAGGATGTGGGTTGGTTATTTCTGTAGTTCAAATATAAAAATAACCAATCATCTGCAAGTTCAACACATTTTTGCACGAAGAACTCAGAAACATTAATTATGTTCAATACATTATGCAACTATTCCCACTATCAATTTTCAAATATTTCCATTACCCTTAATAAAAGCTATTAATAAAATAAAAACTCGTTTTAAAATCCATGATGAACAAAATAGGATTGCATCGCTGTGCTGGTTTTTGGTTTTTTTCCATTTGCCTCAGGTTCCAAAACGGCTCTTCAAGGGCCATGTGACTGATCTTGCCTTCATTTAAAATCTTTGCATTTTGTTTGCCATGATTTTTTTTTCAAATTCATTTTTATTTTTAAGATAGATTACATTAACAGGGTTTTGATTACTGTAGTTTTTGGTGCTCTGTTTAATTTTACATCTGAGGGTGAGGTTTGTTCTCAAGCCTGTTCTGCTGACACATCCCATGTCACAGGGCTAGGGCTTCAGGGTCTCCCCCAAACCACAGACATATAATGATGGACAGGGGATGGTTACTCCTTCCTTCTGTAATCTCTCCCTGCTCCCTCTTCCCCCTCCTCCTCCTGCCCCTGAGGACTGTTCCCCACCACCACACTGGCCCATTTCTGAAGAGGCACTTCGGCTGCATCAGCTATGTGACAGCGCTCTTCAAGCAATATCCCAGGCAGCCCATGCTGGGCTTGGCAGGCAGGCTGAGAAGTAAGAAAAAGGATAATCATACCGTTCAACAAGCAGCCAGCATCATAGCAGACATGAGCTAAGACAGTGGGTGTGCACATTACATACAAAGTACACAAATGCACCTGAGACAGGGTTCTCTCCTATTTAATATTTTAAAAAACTCAAACGTATCATTGTCAAGTTGGAACTGATTCATGGCTGACTTTCCAGCAGGTTTTTAGAGGCTGTCAGCTGCACAGAAGATTGCCCATCTTTCTCCTGCAGAGCAGCTGATAACTTCAAAAACCTAACCTCTGGGCTGGCAGTGCAGCTCACTTCCCTCTGAATCACCAGCGCACCCTAACATAAGGCTGTAAATCAGTAAGGAGGAGGTTGCATGGCGAATATTTGAACCACGTGCCCTTGAACTGGCAGTGAAACTCCTGACCCACTAGGCCACCCCCCCTCCCCGAGCGTCCTTCTATGGATTTGTTCTGACACAGCAAAGATGGAATTTAATGTATGTTAGTTAGACTCTATAATGAAGCTGGTAGTTACATGAGCTGCCTTTTCTCGATTAGCCTGTAGGTGGCAGCAAACCATCAACATTAAAATTCAAAAGTGTGATTTGTTTCCGAGGGCTCAAGTGGAAGAAAAAAATGGAAAATAGTAGAAGGCTGGTAAGGCAATCACTAGCATAGAATATGGTCATGCTATAGAAAGGCATGTGAGAGAACTAGTACGGTCTCTAGAAGCAATCATAATAGAAGGCTTTCTAAGAAATTAAAGAATCTGGTAGACTGCATGAAAACCATCGTCTCATTGTCAATTTTCAGCTCTTTGGTCGTACACAGGGTCACTGTGTGTCAGAGCCAACTCCACAGCACTGGACAACAGCTCAGTCACCCTAAACCTGGGAATACAAATTTTGTCTTTAAATATTTTTCTAGATATTGTCTTGTTTTCTATAACTTCAGTACAAGTGTTCATGTATGCGGGTCAAGATTCTTGTTCTGCAGGCAACACGGACTCACTTGAGATTATCAAACAAAATAACTGTTTTAGGCAGATACCCATTAGCAGGAGAGATGAAGGGTAAATTCAATGTAGGAAAAGATTAGTTAAGATGTCACAGGAACACAGGGGTAAAGCAACAGGAATTTAAACTTTATTGTTTTATTGTTAGGTGTCATCGAGTTGAGCACAACTCATAGCGACTCTATGAACAAAAGATCTGAACCCTGTTCTATCCTGTGCCATCCTCCCACCTCCTGACACACATGAGCCCACTGCAGCAGTCACCGGGTCAATTCACCTGTTTGAGGGTCTAACTTTCCTTCACCAACTCTCCACTTTTCCCAGCATCCTGTCCTTTATCAAGGAATAGCAACTCCTAGCAACACGTCCAAAATCTGTGAAGCAAAGTTTCATCTTGCCTCCAAAGAGCACTCTGGTTGCACCCTCTCCAAGACATATCTGTTCTCATGGTAGTGCCAGGGAAAAACTGGAGAACTGAGTGGCAGATTTGGAAAAAAACTAAGAAATTTTACATTTCCATGACTAAAAAAGAAAATCTATTAGGAAAAACGGGAATTGACATAAACAGGCTACTGACCCACTTAAAAACTTAACAAGAAGAACTGCCACAGTTCTCACCTCCAGGACCCCAGTAGTTAGTGTCCTACTAAGTTAGGAACTTCTGGAGCAAGTGCTTTATGCTCCTTATGTCTTATTCGGCACAACCAACCAGCAAGAAAGAACTACTGTTTGACC